CCTTATATGGGCTATATAGGTATGTGCGGCCCTAAAGGGTATGGTTTTTCAGCCGTTTTGGTCATAAATACGGTATCGATTTTGGCCATTTTGGCAATAAATAGGGTATGGCTTTTACCGTCTAGTCTTGATGTGGGTATGTTTTTAGAAAGAAGCTACGTTTTCACCATTATTGATAAGACCATCAACAAAAGCCTCTCACAAATTATGTTTAACATTGGTCTGAACTGGGGAACTGATTATAAGGCAGGTCTGAAACCGGGTATTGATTTAAGGCTCAGGTAATAAATAGGGTATCGAAATTTTGGTCAAGTCATAAATAGGGTAGGGAAACTCGCAGATTTTGGTCATAAATAGGGTAAGGGTTCTCGGAAGCGGGACGCACACCCCACCCAATTTTTCTGGAAGTAAACCCCTCCCCAGGCATTTTTCCTACTAGCAGAACACTACTTTTACACTTTATGTCGTGAACTTGAAATCTCCAAGTTAACGCCGGATGATAACTTTTAAATGCAATTACTCCACAGGAAAAAAATAGTCAAATGCTAGAAAGAATTTGCCAAAAACAAGTTTTACTTTACCACGGATTTGTGAACTAAATATAAAGGGAAACACAATGTAGGTTGAATTAATGAATGGGAAGGTTCATTTTTAACCCGCAATCATGGCATCTGTATAGATAAGCCATTAGTCTAAAAGGCTTTCAAAAACCAGATTTCACATTTCACAAACCACATTTAATTTGTTAATATTTTCATATTCCATTAAAGATTAAATGCTATTTTTTCTCGTCATTAAACGGATAATTTCATGTAGGATTAATCGGCTTTTAAGTAATGAAAACTGAACCTTTCATAGAATCCAGCAATACCTCTTCCCGTACTCATGTCGCCATGAATAGCGTTAAAAAGAAATAATATTTGGCACATTCTCGCTACAGCGCAAACGACTTCCCGAGTTTTGGTCGTGGGAACGCAGGTGACAAGTTTATGCCTTGCAACGACACTTGCAATGCTTCGGACAAATTACGCGGGCTCAGGTTATGCTGAGTGGAGGAAGGAGGAGGGGTCGAGTTTAGCCTCAAGCGAAAAAGGTTCTCATTTTTGCCGAGAGTTCATCTGTGGCCTAGTTTGCGCATATATCGGGCAATGACCGGATGATGCACCAAAAAGCGGAGGGCTCATAGGTAAGGCCTCTGTGATCAACTGCTAGTAAGATTCAGTCAGATTTCACTATCATGAACAACGAAGTGATGCCTCTTACACAATTGGAACAACTCGCTGGGTAAGGCTAATTAAACGGTTCAATTCGTGTGCATTCAGGGTGCGTTCAAACGGTCAAGCTGCGTTCAAGCTGCATTCAAAAAAGTGTTCAAACCGCGTTCAAGACGCTTCCTTAGAGAGCCTGACACAATTCAACCGCTCAAGTCTACGCCACTTTTCACACGCTACGTTCAGAAGGCAAGAGACCCAAAAAATCCTCTTAAACATCCATATCGCGTGCATTTGGCAAATTAAAAAACGAAGTGACCTAATAATGATCACAGCGCGCTGTCAAATCACCTCGAGATCGAGAACATGAACGATATGGCACAGTCACTGTCCAGTCCTGTGTTGTCACTGTCACAGTACCGCTTAACAGATGTGTAAAGGGTGCCGGCGAGCAAGTGAACCGAGCAAATATGCTAATAGTAGCATACCCTGCATAGCTTCTTATACATGAACCATGGGCCACTTCTTGTGGTAGAAAGACTTCCACCATCCGTAAAAACAGATAATAATCACCTGGATACAATGAATTAAAATAAGGAAGCTGACAATGCTTACCTTAAATTATTCTCTTCAACACATACAAGACGCAGGATGAATTATCAGAAGTCGAGCCGACTGTTTGAGAGCGTGGACTGGCACGAGAGAGAGCCAGGTTTCCCGCGGACTACATCCTCTTGAGTCCTGCTCGCTGTTTCTGAGAGATCTGGGGGAAGGTGAAGTTTCTATGGAAACGATCAAAAGATCAAATTAGGATAAGAAAGAAAGACTTTTCTTCATAACATCTGGCACAAAGGAAACTTCACTCAAACTTCTTAGAAAAGCTCTACCCACAAAAGCCTTTTGTCTTTTAGAGTTTTATCAACGCTTTATATAACGCTTAGTGCATATTTACATATTTTTATCTCTTTTCAAATTCTCATGTGCAAAACCCTAACGTTTTATCTTAGGATGTGTTTCGAAGAAACTGCAAATTACAAAAATTATCTCAAGGAAAGAAAAAAAAAAAGAAAGAAAGAAACAAAAATCGCAAGCTTACCTCAATGGTCATTTTCTTTCGCCTCAGTTTGAAAGCGAGGTCGAAGGAATCTGGCACGTGACACACAAGGGAATTCAGTCGAGGAAGGCGAAGAATGTGAAAGAGACCTAGAATATCAACCCATGGTTAAAGCAGTACTGGTCATCAAATAGATAAGAGAATCATGAATGCATGCGACAATGCAACCTTTTGAGAAATGAGTACAGGAAAAGATCACCGACAAAAGGCAAATCATTGAGATTCTGCTTCTAGTGTGATTGACTTTCATTCAAGGTTTGTAATAAACTATTGGAGGTCGCCACGGATCTACAGTGCGTTTGTTGAGCTCTGTGATTGGCTAAGAAAAATCGCGCCACACACTCCAACAAATCAGCACCGTGACGTAAATTGCAACTAAAGCGGGTTACGACATTCCCACTACTTTCCTTCTATTTTTTTAACTCACAAGGCAAGGCTACGTTGCTGTTGACGGGAAAAATAATCTGACATCAACATCACTCATTTACCATGATAGTCTTTGTAAACTGGGTTCGTTTCATTTTCAGAGCCAACAAATGACTCCAGTTTTACAACCGTGTCACACAGTCTTTCCACACGCCGAGTGAGGGCTGGATCCTAAAAACAAAATCAAAATCAAAGTTGTTAACTGCAATAGGCCCTTTGCAGGATCCGATCACATGGTACGGAATTAATTACGCTGGGACGCAAGTTNAAAACACGCGGAAGATGTGCTTGTTTTCTTTCTTTTTTTTAACTGCTGGAGATAGATGAAGAAATGGAAGAGGAACGATTCTGGTTTACTCAAAACGCAAATTATCTTTTCACGGATAAACGAGGGAGGCGAGGGAGGCGATACATACATCAGTTATGTTACAAGATTGAGATAACAAAAAAAATGATTTACATGTTTGCCGTGTGAAGTACGAGGACATTAGACGATTGATCGCATTTTTAAAGTTAATAAAAGATCTACTGGCTCTGACTCTGGCTCTAAGAGGCTTAGGCAGAGCTTACTTGTTTTCAATATTTCTGAGTCCACAGTAAATGCTGGAGGGTTTAAATAGGCCTTTCAGGTACTCCGGAGACTGATCATTCATAGTTTAAACATTAGTTTCACCTTTTGCTTTTTCCTTCTGATATAGATTGTCCCATTGGCATCGTAGCTTACCGCGGAGGGACTTGGTGATAACCCTATGACGCGATTTTGCAGTTTTTGTAATTTGTCGGCTAACTCGTTGTTGAGACCGTCCCACACGAGACAATAATAGAAAAATAGTTCGATAATAGCTCTACATACACGCAGCAATATAGCTGTATCTTCGCATATGAACGGCCTCAACCTTTTAAGTGCACCTACACCAGAGGAGATAACCTTGGCAGTCTCATTAAGATGTTTGGTACACCAAGAATTTTGATCGATACAGGCTCTACCGAAAGGAGGCAGCTGTGGAGGTCCTTTGTTGCTGCCCTGTGTGTCAGTGGGCATGACGAGCAGTGAGTGAGAGAGAGACTCCTAAGGATTTGGTGTGGAGCGCTCTATCAGTTTCGCGACCTTCAATTTATACAGTACGTTAATGGCCAACAGTACTTGCAAGTCTCTGACGTGACCCTATTAACAGTAGTTTGGTTTTTGCAATATTCAGGCTAAGCTTATTTACATTAAGCCATTCATGAAGGGTTAGCTAGTTCAGTGTTCAGTGCTGATCCAAGTTCTGGTAAGCTCCTGGCGGCGATGCTGATACTTGTATCGTCGGCGTATATTCGTGGTAAGGTTTTACTCAGGCAGTTCGGCAAGTCGTTAATATAAATCAGGAAAAGAAGGAGACCAATAATGCTACCCTGTGGGACACCACAGATAACAGCATGCGCACCAGACAGCTCACAATTTACTAGACACATTTGTTCACGATCACTTACTAGACAGGAGTCAAACCACTTAAGGGCCCTTTGTTCCATGCCACAATTAGCTAGCTTGGCGAAGATGGCGAGGGTGGCCAGGGTGGCCAGGATCGCGAGGGTGGCCAGGGTGGCCAGGGTGGCTAGGGTGGCCAGGGCGGCGAGGGTGGCGCTAGCTAAAAGTCAAGTTTTAGTGGTCAGAGGACTAGATATAAACAATCTCTCATACCCCTTTTCCTGATGTGATAAATCCCCCATCTTTGATAGCAGACTCTATTCTTGAAATAAGTGCTTTATAGACGTTGTTTTCATCTGACCTGGCACAACAAAAGAACAAGTGACATTCATTTATTCATAATTGCATTACATCATCAAGCGTTAAACTTACAGAAGATGCTAGACTTTGGATGGTTTTTAATTCTTCTAAGTCAAAACTGAAGAACAAACAATATCAACAGAAACCCTCACTGAAAAGTTACAAAACTGAAAGCAAAATTCTTGCTAATCCTGAGCCTTAATCAGGCTTTGGGACAACCCAGGGCATAAATAAAATAACTTTTACTCACCTTTTTTCCTCAGAGAGTTCAAGACACTTTGACATCTCGTTGGCCACATTAAATATATGAATGGGGACAGAGCTGACGGTCAGTTCATCCATCACTCGGGTCAAGTCATAGTAGTGTCCAAACTTAGCATGCAATGGTGAGGACTATTGAAAAAAAGCCAGAAATGATAACTATAGACCTGGGGCCCATTTCTCAAAGGTCCCGAAAAGTTTTTGCACCTAAAAAGCTGTAGCAAAATCTCAAACCTTTTGACTACAGAGCCGTTTTATTCATATATTCTTAATACGAACAGAGGTTCTCTTCATACAGGATGTTTCAGGCGTATACACCTCTGTCTTTAAATACCAATTAACTAAAAGTGGCTTTTTGTGCTTGAAAAGATTCCCGCGCTTTCGAGAAATGGGCCCCTGGCCCCAGTTGTTCAAAAGGTGGATAACACTATCCACTGAATACATTGCTATCCTGTGGATAAGTGGAGGATGCTGTATATAGTCCAGAGCAGGGAGACAAGGTGAAGGCAGCATCCAAGAGAGGAAAAACGGCTCAACAGACTAAGACAAAAGAGGGACTGCTCTAAGTCCTACACATAGAAGAAGAGTGGGCTTTAGAGTCTTGATTGCAGCATCTATATTAATCTTCAACTTCTTTTACAGTCTAAGCTATGTCCTGGACAGTTCTTGCTGGCTGCCTCATATGAAGCTGGCCTTGTACACTGTACGTTATAATTAATAATGTAGATTTCCATTATGCATGCACCACTGACCCATCCCATTTCTGGCAGGGAGGGTTTGGGTTACTGAGCAATTTTTTTTTTTTTGACAACTTGTGTACAATTTATGTATACTCTACTGGAATGCGCATTATCACTCCAATCTTTCCTGGATACAAATACTGACATAGTGACTAGCAAGGCTAGGAGGCTGTTTTACAAACAAGTTTCTTTAACGGAAGCATGAATTAACCTGAAACTTAGGCTGATTTTGGTATCTCCATGCAATCTTCATTGACTGATCTGGTGAAGATCTTTCTTCCAGTTCCTGTGAGCTGCTGACAGATGTCTTATTTTCTCCTTTGTCATCTGTTTGTTGGGGAAGATCCTGATACAAAAAGGAGGATACCAAGAAAAATAAATTAATTTCTATTGCTCATTCTCAAGACCACTTCAGGATAAATGAGCAAACTAGTTTACATTTTCTCCAATATCCTAAAAATTAGAACTTTCCAGGACCTGAGAAATGTGAGTTTAATTCTGAAATTTTGATTCCTGGAGAATTCCATTTCCTGAAAAAAAATAAAATTTAGCCTATTTTCAGGATTTTGAAAAAACCAGAGACAATCATGCAGTCAAAGCTTGGAAAATGCTGCAATATGGTTCTTTTTTTTTTTTCAAGAGAAGATTTTTTTATTATTAAGTTTAACAAAATATGTGATATGCAATATGGCTCTTACAATTTAATTTATGGTTCAGTCCTTAGTTACCTTTAAAATATTACTGGGTTCTGGCTCTGCGGATGCCAGGAAGATGGCATGGCCAGACACAACTCCCTCAGCAAGAAAATATTTTGAAAGCTGCCGGGCGTAAGAGCCATAGGTATCCTCCTCTGGAAATAAAAAAAAGGTTACTGAAATGTCAGGTTTGGACTTAAACACAGAGTTCTCCATAAGCTCCAGTGACTGGTGAAATTCGCCGTCTAGACGTCCTTGGCGTGCCAGCTATTTATAGTAAATAAATTATGAAAAAATTTTATTTGTAACAATGTGAGCCTGTCCATCGATAAAATTAAATGTAAAAACAATATGTCTAATTTTCTCAACAAATACGTAGCGATTAAAAAATACAACTCTTATAGCTGTAAGNAATCCGTGGGAAACTTCACCAAGTATTACAGGCTTGTGCTTGCAACGGTTACCAATCACAAGCTTCATCACGTTCAATGATTTCCACCCCTAGCACTGTGTTAAAGCCATTCAAATCTTAAAATACACTGAAATGCACTTTTTAGAACCCCAATTTCAAAATTTTCCTGATGAGGTTCCCAGACCCCCCAATAAAAGGTTGTGGTCGCCCCCCTCCCCCCTCCACGTGGCTCTGATAAAACCACTCAACGTCTTTTTATCGGCATTGTCCACTGCCTACTCAAAGTTATTCTCCCTCTACTTCAAATTTATTTTTCGGGAGAACCCTGAAGCACATGCCATTATTTGCTAGGGGTGCAGGGTAGCCTGTTCCAGGCTCTTGTTTGACTGTGAGCGAGCAGAAAAGCAGAAAAGCACTCAAAAGTGAGGAAAAATCTCCCTCCCCCCCTTCCCTGGCCCAACCCAACTTTAGAAGTACAAGTGTGATCCCTTCTCAAAAGAAAATTTCAGCCACAAAAAAGTAGCAGAGTGTGTCACTGATTTTCTTATCACATTTTGATGTCCTCTGTGATCTATTACTGAACAGAAACGAGGCAACCTGGAATCTATTTGTTTTATATAATGACAAAGCAGGCTACCACAGATAAAGCTTTTTTATTTCAAAATCTTTCAACATGACTCAAAAGCCGGCCTTTGCCAACTTTGGCAAACACGAAAAAGCCATTTGACATAATCTATTGTCTATACAAAAGGAAGCAATCTCATTGGTTGCTATGCTTTGCAAAGAATTGTAATTGGTCCAGAAAAATTATGCCACTGTCAAACCTGACTAGAGCGTGGCCTCTCGTGGAATGAAAACTTACAGCAAAAGCAGATTGAACTGTGAAATCTGCAAATCTTAAAGAAAATGCTGGACAAGTCAAGTCAGTTTTTGTCATCAGAGCAGCCCTCTGAGCTGAAAAGCTTGGACTTTGCCTTGAATATTGCAGGAGTTGAAAAATACGCTTGGAAAACTTACAATTGTGGTCAACCTGGAGGCATTTTGATTCGAGTTTTGAATCAAAGGAGCGTTAGTGACGGTGGAAATTTGTGTCCTCTGTGGTTGGTGATTCTCAAATCAGTTTGATATAGTGTTGGAGACACCTTATAGCTGCGATACAGTTGGCTGTGAGCTATAGTGAGCTATATTTTGCTCACTGCTATGCCTTCAAATGGACTGGAACATTCGTGCGTCGGAAAGCAAGGTTATGTGTTTATTTCAAGTTAATTGATTTTAAGAAGTGATGTTTTGATGTTTCATTCCTGACATCAATCTGTGTCAACAATTATCTTGAGACTGAGAAAAGTTGAACTTTTTAAATATATCAATCTCATAACCATTTTGTGTATTGGGTTAAATGTTAAATTCAAGACAAAGGAATGGTTTCTTTTCAAGACCAATTTTGTGTTCGATTTAGTCTCATTTGACTGCAGACTGAGACTGCTCGAGTATTTTTTCTGTATCATTTTCCAAAAAAGAAACGGCTTTTTCTTTCTTCTTCCCACTTCTCATACCTGTTCAATGCCTTTGCCATTTCACCCAGTCATGTAAAATATTATCTAAATTCTCAAAACTTCCCACCATTAACACACAGGGAAAAACTTTGAAATGATGACGTCAATCATGTATCTGTCTGCTAATAGATCATAGGCGAGAAACAATCAAAATGCGAGAATAACTTAGGTTATATAATCTGTGATAGATAGTGAGTAGCATAGCAGTGTGCCCTTGTTACCGCGCCTTTTAATAACATGCAGACTCTTAAATTCAAAGCTCAACTGACAAATATGTTTTTTGCTACCGTCAATCAAATGTTCAGTGGCTCCTCCCAGCTTCCGACTACTGCCAAGCGTGCAGTAATCAAATCAAATCATTGAGCACAGTTTGGACAACATAGTCGGAAGCTGGGAGGAGCTGTTGCACCTTTGATTGACGGTAGTGAAAAATGCATTTGTCGGTTAAGTTTTTAATTTTAGAGTCTGCATGTTATTGAAAGGCACAGTAACAAAATGACGGCCGCTTCTTGTCATTTTTGAAGAGTCTTTGAAGGAGATTTAGATACATGTAAGGTCTTGAATGACTAGTAGATTTATACTAAAACAATTAAATTATTCGCTCTCGATTTCTATGGGTGATAGAAATCTCGAGCTCATAATCTAATTGTTTGATATGGTCTTACAATTACAAGCAGTATGTAAAATAGAATGGCACATGTACATTCAAACATATCCCGAGTATTGAGAAAAATTAGCCATCGAAAAAGGTGAGCTTAATGAAAATTATAGAACTGAACAATGTTAACCTGACTACCGAGGCCAATTGTTGCTATAATCTTTGTATCGATTAGTTTACATATTTAAATTTTTATAGTCTAGGTTTAAATTTTATAGTCTAGTTTTTTGTACTTTTATTGAACAGATAACATATTTAAATTTTACATTTTAATTTTAGCATACACGTTCACATTTAAACGAGCCCCAGGCTCACTGGTGAAATGTGTATAAATAAAGTACTTAATTACTTACTTAGTAGTAAAAAGATTACCTACCAATCATCAAAACGGTTCCAACAGCAATTCCACCACCTTAAAAAATATGTTTTTCAATAAGCTTAAGTAAGCTTAACAATGAACACTTTTGGAGTCATGCAGTGGTGAAAATTCTAATGAGTTCAAATAACAAAACCTCTATCAATAACGTCACCTATATTGTTGTCCATAGATGGCACTCCAGAAGATATCAAAAGCTGATTGTTATGAAGAGATGGCTTTGTACCCGAAGGATAAACGGCGCGACCTCGAGAACCTTTCTTTTTGAAACTGGTCGCCATTTTGATTTTTTGAGGTTCAGGTTGTTTATATGAAGTATCCTGCATTTTCATGCACACCACTGGCTCACAACGCGTGTACAAGCAAAACCCACTTCATGCCCATCAAGGGGACATATGACAGTCAAGAAAAGCATATTTTGCACACTGATTGCGTATTGGTTAGCTGGATTTTGGTCGAGTCATTGGTGAAATTGCCAGATCTACTTCTTGTCGATAGTTCTTTAATATTCTTTGTTTTATTTTGTGGACTGCCGAGTGGATATTACGTAATGTGCTCTTTTTGACATACCCCTCCCCTTTACCCTCCCCCTCGACAAGTCTGTCTCTTGGGGATAATAAGTTCCCGCCAACACGCAGAAAAACACTATCCAATCACAATACTTGTTAGAAAATATACCAAAATAACACGATATTGAAGTGGCCAATGATTGCTCGTGTTAGCTAGTGTCGGTACTCGGGACAGGAAACTGGTGACTAGGTAACACTTCAGTGTTGGTCACGTCAGGGTAATTTGTCTGTTTTGTGTGGAAGTCGTCGCCGTTCAAAGCCGTGAAAGTTTTTTTTCCGGCTAGGAATTTCGCAGATGGCTAACACAGCCACAACAATGAGTACAAATGGAGCCTCTTGCTCTTACTCCAACCATACTCTTGAAAAGGTGGCGAAAGCCAAGGCAACGCTTGAAAGTTTCTACGCGAACTTGATCAGTCAGCACCAAGAACGACAAAACAGGTCTGATCGAGGAAATACAATTTGTAAATTGTACCAATTTCGCTCTCTACAGAAGAGACATTCCAAGATTACTCAGTAAGGACCTTGTCACGAACAACAACGTTGTGTCCACTTCAATTAATTTACTCTATTTTCGTTACAGATGGAAAGTTTTGGAAATGAATATGGAACAGCAAGGATTGACCGAAGAAGAGGTTTGTGTTAATTGCATTTCCTGTAGAGAGTTTTCGACACAGTTGTCAGTGTTAAGTTTACTGAAGAAGCATTACTTGTTGATTTAAGCTTTACCTTTTTTGGGATTTCTTATTTCAAGCAATAAAACTGCTATCGAACGTTTGCGGAATTTCTGACGTGAATCTGGCTTGAAGATGCTCAGCAAGAATACTTTTGAATGGGTTTGTAAGCTGTCGTCTGGCAATCGATGTAATAACCCAATAAATTATGAATCTCGTTGAAAGAACGACTTGCTCTCTCGTTCAGCTAATATATTAAGCTTTAGGTACACTTCGTCATTACATGTAATCTTGCGTATTTTCAATCGTGTAGCAAATGCTAAAATGTCGCTTCCGAGGTGACTACGGTCCACCTCACCAGTTGCGTTGCGTCAAGACGAAGATTCAGATAAATTATCTTCAGGGTCTATTTACATTTTTGTTGTGTTATTTAAATCTCGATGCGAAAAACAGCAGTTTGAAAAGAACCATTAAGGATATTAGAACATTTTAACCGCAAACAAACGTGTTGAAGGCCACGCTGCAATATTGCCAGCTTAGCGGAAAATTAATTCATCAAGATTTTGCATAATTTCTACCTTAGGACCACGAAAATTTTCCATAACAATGAATTATGACACAGCATGTTGCGTGAATGCGGTGGAAAAAATTCTGTTGTTTTTCTTTTTTGTTTTCTTTTCAAATGAGAAAAACAAAACAACAAGCCGAAGAGGATTTTCACCATTGATATTATGATCTTTGTGCACAAAAATAATAATTATAATAATTACAATATTATAAGATCTACAATTTCTGTCTGTGATGACATTAATTCTGACGTAATTCTTCACGTTGCTTTAATTTGCTTTAACATATATTGCCAAAAATTTATTTGTCTCTTCTTTTTTGAGATATCTTTTGTATAGACCCTTGTCAAATGCTTCAAGGGCGATCTCATGGCCCCATTGGCAAGATTTTCTGTAGGGCTACGAAAGTCATTTCCAAGAGGGCTCTGCCAATGGCATTCTTTGATCTTTTTAACATTTCTGAGGGGTTTTGGAAGAAAGTTAGCTTTNCAACTTTTTGCAAACTCCTGTGATTCAAAACACTCAGTTACTTGAACACATGGCGACTAAAGTCCAATGGTCACGTCACATAACCAACAAAAATCTCCCAACGGGAGTCGGGAGTGACACTAGCATCCTCTGTAGTCCCTTTACGTTTTATAAACTGTCTAGTAAGTATTTTTTTTCCAGAAATTATGATTGATTTTAAGCAAGCCTGTCACTTGTTTATTCACAAGTATCTTGTATTAATCGTAGCTAAAAAATATCTCATGGCTGGTGTCTATCTGAAGTATAAGGTTTTTCTTGTCTGCAGCTGCCAACTTATTCAGAAAAAAGTTGCTAGCTGTAGAATCAGATGGGACTTTCTTTACATCACAATGCTGCATTTGCTATGCAAGAAAATGAAACGTTTTATTTCTTGTAGGTGCGTTTGGTTCAAAAACATGACACAGGCCATGTTTATGCAATGAAAATTCTGAGAAAAGAGGACATGCTAGAAAAAGAACAGGTACAGTGTCTGTGCTTAATAGTTATTGTTTTATACTAACAGTTATTTTTTAACATGAATTATTCATTTTAAAATGCCCTCAGCTGTAACTTTTGAGAGTGGGGACCCTGACACTTACTCATGAGCCCAGTATTTACTGATCTTTAGATATGATGTCTTATGTCTTTAAGAAGTTCTGGTCAGAGTATTTTAATAATTTAAAGTTAAATTCACTCACTTTTGAGCTGACCTGTGTGATAACTGTGGTTCTTCAAGTACTTGCTGCCTAAGCCAAATGATAGGTTTTCCCAGTAGCTACACTAACCATGTCCCAGATTCATGTCCTTTCTATTGAAACTGGGCTAAGCTGTTAGTGTATGTACATGTAAGTTGGAGGGCATGTCCAACTCTCTGGAAACCCTCTATATTTAGAGTACATTAGTTCTAGTTCTCTCTAGTTCTCTATTTTGGTTCTAGTTCTCTATAGTTCTCTATTTTGGTTCTAGTTCTCTATAGTTCTCTATTTTGGTTCTAGTTCTCTATAGTTCTCTGTTTTGGTTCTAGTTCTCTATAGTTCTCTATAGTTCTCTATTTTGATTTGTCCCGTGTTATTTTAGGTTGCCCATGCTCGTGCTGAGAGAGATATTCTTGCAGAAGCAGAAAATCCTTGGGTGGTGAAGATGTATTACTCATTCCAAGATGGACATTATCTTTATTTAGTGATGGAATTTCTTCCTGGTGGTTAGTACCTAATCAAAGGTTTCTTGATTATCAAAATGTCATCACTGAAAATTTTCTCCTAACTGTATGTTATAAATTCTTATTTTATGATTAGCTCTGTGAGCAGGCAAAGTGAACCAAATCCTGCACTGTTATTGGCTAACAAAGCAGGCAAGATGGGGCTATCTTGCCTGCGCGGCACTACCCGCTGTGTGCCACTAGATTTAAACAAGATGCCAAGATGCCAAGATGGCTGGATATTGGCCTCATTTTTTATTTATTTATTTATTTATTTATTTTTGCATCACTATGGATCTGGACTCTGTAAACATGCATAGACATGCAAAAAAGAACTTGATCAATATCCGGCCATCTTGACCTCACGTTTGGTCAATAACCCACATATGTTCCTAAATATTTCTTTTGGGCTGAGATGAGCAGTTTCTTAATAATCTCTTTTAATTGTTATCTTACTATTAGGTGATCTGATGACAATGCTGATGAAAAAGGACACTTTTACGGAAGATGAGACTCAGTTTTACATTGCTGAATCAGTTCTTGCAATTGACTCCATCCATCAAGTTGGATTTATTCATAGGTGAGGAAAATTTGGATTTACAATAATCTATTAACCTTTCGATCAATCACCCTAAAATCATTTTAAACTGGACCTAAAATTCTCTGAAGTTACAGTGATGTCATTATTAATTGAATTCCACTGCAAGTGTCTGGATGCTCATTCTAATTTTAAACTTACACTGTTCTCTTCAGTTGGCTGACCTGCATACCTTTATGCAAAATCTACATAATTATAATATCACTTATAAAGTTATTTAATAAAATTTTACTTATCCATTTAAGTAAGCCAAGAGTACAATTTCTTCTACAAGGGAACAAAGCACACCCTAATGGGCTATTTTCAGTGTACGGGACACACTATCTGTGCACTTGTACAATTCAGGTGGTCTGCATCAACTACAAACATTGCACAACACAAAATTATATTTATTGACAGAGATAATTTTGTTATTACAATTTTAACATTTTGATTTTTTTTTGTTCCTTTACAGGGATATTAAACCTGACAATCTGCTTTTGGATAGCAAGGTAATTACACAAATCTATCCTCTGTTTTTCATCCTTTACATTTTTCTGTGCACTCTTAAATCATTGTTTTGATTATTTAATCATTTTTTTTGTCAAAGGGGCACATCAAGTTGGCAGATTTTGGTCTTTGCACTGGTCTTAAGAAAGCACACAGAACGGAATTCTACAGGGAAATTTCACCAAGTGATATGAAAGATTTCAGTAAGAAAACATCTATATTTGGCATGTATATAAATACTTTAAAACTAAGAATTTGTAATGCTTGTTCAATGCTCTGATAGGTTAACTACTTAATCATGCATAATAACATGAGGTTTAACTTGTATAACTGATACAAAAGAATGGGCATACAACAACTAAAATTAGTAAACAATTCTGAATTTTATCTGATATTCTCCCTTTAGCATCAACAGAACCATTAGATACAAAAGGCAGAGCAGCCACATGGAAAAAGAACAGAAGACAACTGGTATGTGATAATACATTTATTATACATAAAAACCACTGAAATACCATGTGAGCTTTCACGTGAAAACATAGTATCTTCACACATGAAAATAAACTGTTATCTTCAAATGTGAAAAGATCGCTGTTGCTATGGTTACACAACAAATGGCACCTTTTGCAGCAAAAGTAAAATGGTTTGGGATTTCATAGGTGCTTATGTATAATAAATAGAACATTACATGGCTGCTTGTAGACACGGAATTTCTCTTCTTGTGTTGAAAAATGTTCCACTCGTTCACTGTGCTCACTTGAGACTCGAAGAGAAATTTTCGTATCTCCACTGGGCCATGTAATATCCTCTATGTATGTGCTAAAATCAATCCAAAGTGTTGACTAGCAGGTTGGCACATTGCGTTAGCCTCAATATACTTCAGAGAAACTTTTCAACCAAAAATCTTTCCCACTAGACTTATAAATTTTTATAAAAGTGTATGTTTGATGAGAATTCTCAAAAGTAGTTAAAAATAGTCACCAACAGTGGTTAAAAAATAAGTAATTAAGTTGTCAATTTAATAAAAATTGAGTTTGCAAATCACAGCTCAAGCTAATGAAATACATCGATATAACTGTTTCCTTGCCAGGCATACTCTACAGTAGGAACTCCTGATTACATTGCCCCAGAAGTCTTTCATCAGACTGGTTATAATAAAAGCTGTGATTGGTGGTCATTAGGCGTGATCATGTACGAGATGCTAATAGGTAAGCAATGACAGAAGCAACGTAATGTAATTATAATAATTTTATTATCAAAAAGACAAAGTCTGAGTGTTTGATTCTGGTGGCCCATCAGGCTGGTAATTATATTCAGTTTCCATAAAGCATGAAGTAACCACTAGTAGTTGGGCAGGAGTATTTCTATCCCCCCCCCCCCCCCCCCCCCCCCCCCCCC